CCATATCGCCAACGGCCTAATAATGCGACGCGTTCATTTAACACAAAGAGGTCGGGAAGAATTCTTGCCATGTATGGAGAAACGGAATACAATTCTCCTATAAAAAATAAAAATGAATGAGATTTCCCACAGCAGTAAAATGAAATGGTATCAATCAAATTTCTTACCAACAAAGTGCCTTCTTTTTCAACAACCCAATTGTTCGGTGAATGAAACCGATGATAATCTCCGGGCGGCAAGTAAAGAACACACCATTTGTCTTGGAAGATTTCGGTCGTCATTGCAGGTACAAGTTCTCTCTTTTTCTCGGCAACATGCTTCTTGACATTATCCTTATCTTTCCCAATAAGAGGCCTCCAAGGAATACGTTATTCCATTTAATGAAGCAAATCCTTCTCGTCAGTTATTGTCATTGGCGGCGGAAAGATGAGAGACCTCTGATGGACTAGACTAGTGGCAGAAGAACTGTTCCCGATAAGTACGTCAAGTAAATATGTCGAGCCCTTTACTTGAGACATACGGCTATTATGTATCCGAATGCTAATACTCTTTCATCAGGTGGGGATACCTGGTAGAATAATGGCGAGTAAAATAAACTTTGTAAGCGCATAACCAATATCAGAGTTGACGTTCCCAAATACACGAGAAATCTTCTTACCAAGACGCTCTTCTCATAAATAACTCGTACTCCAGGTTTCAATTCTCGATAGAAAAAGGCACCGAGATTACGATAATTCTTTAACCTCGTCCATATTACATCTAAATATCCACGCATACAACTTATAAATTGGTTCTCATGAAAACAAGAAGATTGTAGTCATGTCGTCCCAATAAACGTGATATCGCCCGTAATGGAAGAGCGTTTGCTACGTTTACCTACAAAACGATATTTGCAGTTATGAAATGCGAGGTGTGGAAATATTGTGATTTGGATAAAAGTTAATATTCCACACAATAATGTGAAATTATTATTATAAGGTTCTCCAAATAAATCAGCGTATCTAGTTATAAAAGACATTAAAGGCCGTATAATGATGAACGTTATTTTCGATTTTGTACTCACCGTAAGAGTTACGCCGTTGGAGCGTACGGCCAAATTCATAAGCAAAAGGTGTAGAATTTGTTCAATTTCGTATACTTGCAGAACAGCTATTCCAAATCCAAATGTTCTACTGGTATACGTATATCAATAGAAGATTATGGTCGACCGTAGGCAATATATCAATCTTTTCCTGGTCATATTGCAAACAACTTGAGAACATATTAGGAAGCCATTAATATACAAATTACCGTAGATAATGCGACTAGTAATAGTTGGTCTTTACAAAAAAATCAAACTACTAATCAAGTTGTAAATACCTTTCTTATCGTAAGCAAACATGTGCAAGTTCGTAAAATCGTTACTAGCTTGGTGATTCCATCAGAGCTGCGCAGAGCGTAACTCAAGTCGCGAATTCGGCTCGAGAAGCCTACTTTGATATCGCAATATTAGCCTGTAGTATGTAGGTAATTGTATGATTGTCTACGCACTATGAAAAATTTCGATCACATAAATCTGTCTGGCACATGATCTCGACCAATGATTGTGATTGATGACGATGACATTATTGATCTCACAATGGTTCCCGTTTCCTAGTAATAATAACAAAAAAAATGAGTAACTGAATTATTATAGTCAAGAACGGTCACAATAAGCCCAATTATTGATATTAAGATCAGAGTACATTCGGCCTTCCGGAACGAATATCGAACGTTCACAGCAAATATAATCAGACCTTAAATTACAAAGTATGCATCTTATTCATTACACTACAAAGCCGTAGAAACTTTTTGTCGGTTACGGATTCTTCAAAACGTCAGTTTACACCTAATGACAGCGTATTTTCGGATACACATACTAAGTAATTGCTCGAAAAAAAAAACAGTAGCACGAAGAGCTTTTGAATAATCCGATTTTCTCACCGCGCACTTGGATACATACCCAGTAAAATTCTCTCCATCTTCTTTTTGTTTAAATAAAAACGCGTCAGTGGCCTTTTTTCAGGTTCGGTCTTGGCGTCAGTTGAGCCAACGATCTCATTTGTTTACTGTGTTACAAAAGATAAGTTGTGATTAAGTGTATCAACAAAATTTTTTGTTACAATTGTTTACTTTGATACACATAGCACCTCATCGTCCGTTTTAACCATCAACATGCCATACCAGTTGCTACAGTAAAAAAAGCTCAGTCCCGGTGCGTAATATAAAAGTATTATATATATGAATTCGTTACCATATAAATTTTCTATTAAATTTTAAATTATTCAGGTAAAATTGGGATAATAATAATTGTGGGACTTTAAAAACTCTTGCATGTGGCTGTGTGCATTTCTCCGTGGTTTCAAGAATAAACACCCCCAAACCTTTACATTTTTCATAGTTCTACGCATATGACTAATGGATTTCTGGTGTAAATTTTACTGTAACCCCGGAACAATCGCAATATTATGTTATGTAGGTTTACATCAAGCAATACAAAGTGAACATCATTATAACAAACTAGTTGTTTAATTCGTAATATTGGCGAGTCTACAATATTGGCTTTGTGTGCATTACATCAGCTATTATTTAGTAAGCAAATTTTGTCTCAACGAAAGATTTTTTTTATCGAGATTCGTTGTGTCGTCAACTTTTACTGTATAACAATACCCCATTTAAAATTTACTATTCGCAGATTCTCACACTCTTTTTTGCATACGTAACAACACTTACACTTATAAGGTTACGTGCGAAGCAATGAGGAGTACAAATATTTCATATTCGTCATCTAACACGCGGATACGCGCCTACTCATACATGTATATATCCTGATGCACACATTTATTGCTTCAACCAACAAACTCTAAGCCTCAAAAATCTCTGATATTACGCACATACAGCACGAAAAAAAACAGTAAATTTTTACTACTCAACATGGCTTATTGGCGACTACTATGTACTGTATAAAGAGTCTTGCTCATACATTATGCAAGTATCAATTACCGTAACAAGCTCCAAAGAACGAATACAACGTAAATTACAACAAACCAACTTTTTGCCGTCTCCAATACGGCAGTTTAGTACAACTCACTAATAAAACAACCTCACAATATATACCCTGACATTTCCCTTTATTGATTTTGCGACAACATTTCTTCCTTCAAAGCAAAAATTCCAAACAATTTTGTCGTCTCTTCTCCGTATTACGCTCTACAGCTGTCCGACACGGTTTATCGTTCACTGACTGATGGAAGAGTTCAAGCACCCACGTCTACTTAAACATATAATTCGAACATTCTCTCTTTAATGTGCATACATCGCTTCACAACAACGTCTTCTCTTCACAGCAAGGATAATTCCTTGTCGCTACTCTATATTACGCACATTTGACGGTTGGAAATCTGGCAAAGCTGTTCCCAAAGTTAATTATGAAAAATTATTTCAGAATTGGTAAAGTTATTTGCAATATTTACATGATGTTAATCAATCTGAGTAGTTGCCAGACCAGTAATTATATAATGCAGTTTTAAGTTTGCATATTTTTTAAGTAAGTTTGGTAGCAACCACTTTTATGCAGTTTCTGAAAATAGAAGTCCACTCACAAATATATTCTATTTTACAGTATTAATAAATTTTGTCTACTGTTACTTTTCTCCTAAGAAGAATTCCGTCATTGCTTACATACTAATACGTAGAATTACATAAACGTAAACAACATACTAAAATGGTTGTCCTTACCCAATGATAGTCCCAACTCATGCAATTTTATGTATGTAGTTTTTTTGGGCGGAAAAAATGAGGCATAGAAGATTTCCGAAAAACGAACACGACATGCTTTATATTATGTAGCTGGATGCCCACAAATAAACAATGCTTACCTTTGAAAACGGCAAATTTATGATATTAGTGATGAGACTTCTGAATGGTATCAAACAAAACTCTGATTTGGTGGGCCCTTTATTCAGCACAGCTACGTGGACCGCTAAAGCTGTTTTAAACAAAACTCTGAAACTACACAATTATTATTTAAATTAAAAAAATCAACTTGCCACTGCTGGATACTAATACAACAACACACCTCCTACTTATATACCGCAGTTCAAAAAGCTTCTTGAACTACATTTACTTCTGTCATGGATAAGCTCTAACGTCTATGTATTCCTCCGCTCGGTTACACGAATTCCGAGTTCTGCGGCAATCGATCGACAAGTCCTGCGGCACAGATTCTCCAATGAAATACGAGATGAGATGGCAGCCGATTTGATCTATATCGGGCCATCTGTACGAGCAGCATAAATTGACCATAACGGGCTAACAGACGTTGGTAAAATTAGAACATTATTAATTAGTGATACTTTCCCAATATATCCAATTTTTGCTGCCAAAACTGTTAGACAAGAAATAGTTATTTAAGCGCGCCGTTTTCCCTCATCAATCATCATCTTCAGCTAAGATTGTCCACGGATACTTTTATTATTCCTTTATCATTCGAATATACAAACGGTCCTTAGAATAGTTCTTTATATTCTAATAAAACTCT